CACACACACACACACACACACACACACACACAGGTTAACATCGATTACGACACACATCCATTTGTTGCAGAATAACATGACTAAAAAAATATGAAGTGAAAGAACCATAATAATAATATAATGTTTCTTGGGAATGTCTGTCATTACTAATCAGAGGTGACCAGGAACAAATGCATTTCAAATGCTGATTTGAATATTCAAAAAGAGGTTGCTTCCATATTCAAAATCCATTATATAATCATGTGACTTCTGAAGCCTTCAGTTTTAAAGAATTAAAAAATTACAGGAAATGGGCACGTAAGCAACAAGATAAATAACGGAAAGGGGCGTGGGCCGATGAAACGTCTGAAACCGGATGCACGTCAGCCAGATTCGTTGTCAGATCAGATCAGATCGGACCCTGTCTGGTCGGGTAACGGTGCTGGAGTGTGCACACTATCATATCCTATTGGACGATGCTTTGCTTCTTCAAATTTGGTTTGAAAACCTTTTAGGGTCCAGTAGTTAAGCCCTCGGACTCACAACAGGAAGGTCGTGTGTTCGAATCCCGCCAGTAGCCCAATTCTGTGTTCTTGGGAAAGTCTCTTTACTCAAATTTTCCTCCCTTCACTCATGTGAACAAGGGTACCCGGCTACTCAGTATGTTAGTGTTTGAGAGCGTGAAATCTGCAGCTTGCGGTGTATGCTTCCCGGGAAGCCCAGAATGTTTTTGAGTGTTATAGGGTCTGCTGAGGTAATATTATATCAAGTAAAGCACACGTTATATAACTTGCTGTCGAGAAGGACTATGCAAAAGATCTGGCCACCCACGCAATGTCTAAATGTTTTCAGGAAACTGGACCAATCCCCAACCTTGTAGATTAATTAATAATGTCTGGTTTTGGAGGATTTGATTGATGAAATAGTACCACAATTAATGCTTTTGCTCCTCCAAGATGGTAAAGTATGACCGCCTTCAACTCTGTCAAACCATATCAAAAAAGGAATTTGGAGAAATGTTCTGCAGTGTGCACTGGCTTTTAGTCCCGTGGCACTCGAGAAACATTATCAGTAATGTTGTTTACAACATCAAATCAAAGAGGCTTGCATATTCCCACAGCCTCTCGGCTGTCCTCGCAAGAGAGGGAGCAGATAACACAAAACCATACCCTGATATACTTTCTCATTTAGGCAGACGTTGATAGGACAGGCGGAAACAGCTAGGGTTATTTATCAAAACTTTTGAATGAGAACCACCCCCCCCCCTCCAGCAACCGCCCCAAAATATATCATTATTTGATACAAATCCGTAATTTCAAAGGCAGTGTGAAGTTATTATGAAAAATTATTCGCACCTCTCACCCCTGAAGGATATACAATGATTACACATTTTTGTCAGAATCAAAACCCTATGTTTTCATGGGGGGTGGGGGATGGGGGATAATATGAAATAAATATTTTAAAACAGACAAAGAGAGAGAGAGGGGG